ATCGATTATTTGATTCACATGCCTCTTCCACACTCTGCCATTACCCACATCCACTAGGTATGTAACAGGTGATAGTATCTTAAGGATTATACCAGGTACCCACAAATCCCCAGTTCCATAATTTTTGCACATGACAGTATCTTTAATTAAATATACTTTTTCTCTGCCACCTCTGAAGTTGGTTTTAGCCGCATTAATGCTCTTATTATAGTTATATTTAACAAAAGAATTCAACCTGTCAAAAGGTGTAGGTAACAATCGACCCAAATGTAGTTCGGCAGGACTAACACCCGTGGAGCAATGTTTAGTACTGTTATAAGACAAAATGAATTTAAAAACATCCATTTCAATATCCGAGTTACTTTTACATTTTTTAATAAAATTTTTGAACGTGCGTACCAAATTCTCGGCAGCACCATTAGTCGAAGGGTTGTAAGGAGGTGTGGTAATATGAAAAACTCTATTCTTTTTCAAGAACTCTACCAATTCCTTAGAACACAACGATGAACCATTATCTGTAACAAGTTTGACTGGAACGCCACAATAAGCAAAGTATTCGCATAACACCTTGATTGTAGAACTGGAAGTTATATTTAACATATGCTTAACAAAAATCCATTTTGAAAAAGCATCAATAATAACTATAAACATTTTCCCATTAACTGGACCTAAAAAATCTAGGTGTACCCTTTGTGATGGACCATCTGGGTAAGGCCAACTGTGCAAAATACTTCTTGGTGGGTTTTCACTGTACGCCAAACACCTCATACATTCTTTGGTAATACTCTCTATATCCGAATCAATTCCAGGCCACCACAAATAAGATCTCGCAATGCTTTTCATCTTAACTATCCCAAGATGTGTATTATGCAATTCTGCTAATAAAGAAGTTCTATATTTAGGAGGAATTACTAAGCGATGTCCCCATAGTAAAAATCCTTTCTCAATAGAGAACTCATTTCTACGATAAAAGTATGGTTTCATGTCCTCTGACACTTCCTTCAAATCATCCCATTTACCTGTAAAGACTCTAAAAAAAACTTCTCTAAGCAATGGGTGCTTCTTAACTTCCATACAAATATCAAGGTCTGAAATAGTTTTAATATTATCAGTAATTAAATTTATAGAATAATTGTCTAACTCCGAATTGTTGACATTATGTGTAAATTCCAATGAAAGCCTGGACAATGCGTCCGCATTACCATTATCCGTTCCCTTAACAAACTGTATTTCATAATTATACCCTGATAAAAAAATAGCATAACGCTGTAAACGATTAGCCGCCATAACTGGAATACCTTTCTTAGGACCAAAAATCATAACTAATGGCTTATGGTCTGTCCTAAGAATAAATTCCCGACCATACAAGAATTGGTGAAAATACCTTATTGCATACACAATAGCAGTTGCTTCCTTATCAATTTGAGCATAACCACGTTCAGAACTACTCAATATTCTAGATATAAAAGCAATCGGTTTCTCCGACCCATTTGGTAACTTGTGGGATAATACAGCTCCAATCCCAGTT